CGGAATACTGACTCAGGACGTGCGGCAAACGTCTTTGTGCTTTCTTGACGAGTTCCATTAGTAACTTTGAATTCTACCAGTTCTTCAAATAGCCGAATTCTTGTGCTGCGTCTTGAATATATTCTGGTAGAATTCATACGTATTCTTGCTTTTCGACACACTGAAGAATGCTTAATGACTATCACGTCAAATTCTCTCCATAATCTAAGAAGATTAGTGCATTTTTACAGGAAGCGGATTGAATATACTGTAGAGTATTTGTTGCTACATGCCACACCGTGTTTTGAGCATCACCTCGTCTTCATTCTTGGATTTAAAGAAAAAAGTTGCAGAACTATGAAACTCGAGTTCAAACCGTTCGCATACCGTAGCATCATCACACATACAGCGACCTTTCGGACCAAAGCTGTCTGTCCACTGGTTAAATACTGGATAAGATGATGTCGTTTAATCTTATCGCTTAGCTTTATATCCAGCGTATTTTAAATTCCCTGTCATAAGCAGGTTGGTTAAAAGCCATGAAAAACTCTGCAGTCTGCAACTGCAATACAGATGTTATCCACTGTCCGTGTCCTAAACGATTTGACGTTGTTTTTCATAGTTTGATTTATTATTGTTTGAATTGGATGGTGAGCATATTTTTCAGGACAAACGCAGAAAATTAAGAGATGCACAGTAATACAATAACCTTAATAATTGGCTACTGCGAGACACCAGATATGCCACAAGCGGCAGACGTGAAGCAGACGAAATGCTAAGGACATCCGTCGAAGGAATTCAACAAATAACCGGAAAGCAATATTAAAAAGAAGTGTTATTGAACTCCAGCAGGAATAAGGAAACAACGAACACTTCTGTGCACCTTTGAGGTCATCGAAAGAAACTTGAGCTAGCTTCGGAATGAAAAACATTTATGAAGCTTTCTGCCAGAGAATGCGTCAGCAATCACCGGCCTGCTGAATAAAGGCCTGACAATCAAGGACACTAAGGCCGTGGGAGATTGGTCACATATGATGGGCATCTTTGACAGAGATTTGGGTGGCTACCGGCATTGCTTGCTCAGCCACATGGCTGATCCGCTTTATGAAATATGTACAACTCATTCTGGACACAAATTTCGGTTATCATCTTCTTAAGAATTAAAAACCACATGCCAGGAGAACTACTACTGAATGACTATTACCGAAGTATTCCAGTTCTGATTGAGTTTGACCGAGTGAAAAATGTTCAAGGTTTTCCTCCAGGACTATTGAAGCATTGGTGTACGTCAGAAGAATCATGAGAAGCAATACTTCTCGTTGCGTAACGGCTGCCTGGTGCTGAGTGACTTCGTGCAGATGATAATATTCTGAGGTATTTTGCATGCATTGCGAGTCGCCAGTGAAACGTCATTCATACAAAATGACAGTTGATTGTTTTTCCGGGTTCGGAACGTGGAGGACGTGCCCGTCCTTTAGGGTGATTAGTTTTGAAGTTATGTCTTGTTTACGTAACAGGGGGTCTTCAGTCGACAGATCGCCAGATTACGACAGAAAAATTCTGAGTTCAGGACGCGGTTGAATCAGTCGCATTTCGTTCTTCTGAGGCACATGAATGAGTTCCAGTCTCTGTGAAAGAAAGAAGGAGATTGTGCCTGCCGCACAAGTTTACAAACTGCCTTTTTAATATGACACTCCTGACTGACGAAGGCTGGAAACGGAGGTTAGCGACGCAAAGTAAGCTCCTTGAAAAAATGGTGTTACAATTGGTAGCCGTCTCGGAGTGGTGAGGCTGAGACCAACGTTCCGACGAGTCCAATTTTTCATGTTTTTGAGTTCAGAGAGTGCAATGAAAATTTTTTCACTTCTCATATTATTGCTGTTCCGGGCTCCTAATGGCTCATCCTCACTTTCGTCGTCCGCTTCCTCAATGTGGCTACGGAGAAAATAATTTGCTGTACTTTACAGATGATCTCGCATTTAATCGCTTCCTACTCATAAGGATGCTGGCGTCAAGCATGCATCTTTGCCGATCTGCATTTGTCACAGATCGTTTTTAGTTGACGAGGTGATAAATTGTCATGAATGAATTAGCCGTATTGATTCTGAGGATGATCAACAGCGCCAATGGAGGCTACCAGCATAAACTTATTTCCAAAAGCCTGAATTGGTACAGTGAAAGGTTTTGAATGATTAGCACAGAACTGAATAAATAAAACAAACAGGTAGTAGATACCAATAAGCAATTGGTGAGCATGCCAACTGAAACAGAATGATGAAAAACAGGATCGGTGAGATATAATATCAAGCAGCATATTTTTGTAAGCTATTCTCTACTACGACCTCGAACTCTGGTCCCCCGTCCGAGTCACCAAGAACGAGCAACGTCCTCCGTAAGGGAGTGTTTGGCAGAACGAAGTGCGGTGTAGTGAATTCTGATTAGGTGCTACGGTTGCCGTGCAAGGCCAGCGAAGTTCAGGTGCAACTGTTTTAAGCTGATGACCCACGGAACGCATTTATCCCTGATTACGGAAACAATCCGGCATTTCTCATAGGGAGAAAATTTTACTCCTGCCTGACCCTGAAACATCATTTGGCCATCAATATGGATCCCTAAAAACTTCAGTACAGAGAAGAGTACCTTTCAGCGCCAAACGCCTGCACAATTTGCCACGTCGAGTGTGTGAACATTAAGCAGACCTCGACAAACTACACTGGCTGTGGAAAAATTGCATCGATTGAGAATACAAGTAGCTGTAATGCTAGATAACCACTGGTTTGGAACAAAGGCTGTGAGCGATCGCTGGAAATTATAACTTCCATTGCATAAAATATACCTTGAAAAATGTCGCTCATGGAAATGGCATTGCAGTCGGTTCGGAGTCACTTGAAATTCACAAGGAGCCGTTGTAGACTGGAATGTAGTATCTGACCAATGATTATGGCAAGGCTCAAGTCCAGGTGCGGTGAAAGAAGAACTGTACTCTACACTGAGTGTATCGCCGCAACATTGCGCCAAACCCGTAATATGTTGATGGCTGTGAATGACTTCTGTGGTAAAACGGATAAAAGCAATGTACTGTGCAGATGAGAGGAATCACATGGTATTGGCTAGGTGAACGAGTAGCGGAGATGGGTGAAATGCACGATGTGGTTGGTGGCAGCACATGGTTTCCTCACAACCAATGCATAAAATCACGTGGCACTACCATAATCCATCGGCGGGAAACAAGATTACGTCGTTTGTATCACCGGATGTCATCGAAGGCATTAGCGTGTACAGAAGTGCTGAATGCGGCAGCGGTCATGAGTTGATGACGGCTAAAGTTAAAGCCAAGCAGCCACAAAACTTACCGTACTGTTTGAAGTTTCCAAACCTGTTGAAAAGCGGCAGTATCAACGGTAGAAGAGTTAAGTGGCAGGAAGAAAGAGCGAAAGATGCCAAGGACAAATTTTGCAACTAAACGGCTTGCCAAGCTTGATAACCGATACAGTTCCAGAAGGGTCGTACAGAATGATATTTCAAAATCATTAACGAAGGATAAAGGATAAAGCAGATTTTCGGCAGACGCGCGCTGAAATAATGGAAGATGCATTTTGGAAAATTCGAGAAAGTTCACTGTTACTTCGAAAGGAGAAAGTTCGACTGCATAACATCTGTAGTGAAAGCGAACGATGGCTTTTACGTTACGTCTGATCCTGCAGAAGTCATTGTTATGTGGGGAAAGCGCTTTCATTAGCCACTGAACTCTGATGTGATTGCGAAGCAAGACTCACCGTGTGACGTCAGAAAGTCAGAACTGTAAAATGGTAGGTGTTGATGCTTGACGGACGACAGTTGAAGAAGCCACTTGAACTTTAGGCCAAACGGAAAAATGGTAGTCTACAGTAACCTAATGAGATACAATCAGTATTAACTAAGGAACGTGGTAAGCACGGCGTTCTGGCATAAGTGAATCTCTTCGGATCGGTATCGCGCAGAGAGAAGATGCCGACCGTAATGACGGAAAATGCTGTGCTCCCAATATTCGACAAATGCCTTGGTCAGTTTCTAATTATCACCGCGCAATCAGTCTATTATTTTTTCCTGCTGAAGCGTTCATGTGCATATGGGGGACAGCGTTAGACGGTCTCCTGAAAAGATCCTATGGGGGGGGGGATAAAGTTGTCTGGACTCAAATCAAGCAGAAGACGTTTGGTGCAGGTGGTGATAATAAGACAGCTAACAGAAAAGAAAACGCAATGAGGATCGAATTTCTTCTTTTCAATATTCGTCGATTTCGAAAACACGTTTCACTCAGTCTGCAGACATTACGTGTGGAAAGACAACAAATCCCACCAGAGATTATTTGCATAACTGAAAGGTGCATAATCCTTGGGTGGGTCAAGTACAATGCGAATTGATGGCAGAATTTGCAAATTCCTTGGTGCACAGTTTGGAGTAAGGCGAGGAGAAGTGGAGTCTCCGATGCTGCTCGCGATATCTCTTACCTGGGTGCTCCAGCCAATACAAAGGGGTGAAACTAAGAAGGCTAGAGTGGGCAACATCTGCGAGCAACTTTCCTGCATTCGCAAATGATGCTGTATTGCTCTTAGACAGTTTCGAAGCAGTGACACCACTGTTCGTAATTCTGAAATACAGGTGCTCTGATTTGGGTGTCTCGATTAACAGAAAGAAGACGAAGTAGAGGGAAACGAAGTAGAACCCAGGCCAAAGATCGTCTAACCCTTGAAACCAAATCTGCGGAAAAGGACCAGAGCATCTGTATCGTGAGAGCACGTTGGCTGCTTACGTAATGGTGACAAACCGAGTTAAGAGGTGCTGTGCATCGGCACTGGCAGGGATCAAAATATTATTCAATCGCTGGAAGGCCAGAAATGTTGGCGATAGCACAAAGCTGCGGATATACGAGCTTGCATTTTGAATATCCTTCTCCACACTATGGCTTTAGGACCGCAGCCCTTGACAATGCTGGTGGCAGGAAACCGGAAGCGATGGAAACGAAGATTTCAAGATCTTAGTGTTAGGAGTGAAGCGGCACCGCCTGCTGTCAAATGCTGTTGTGAGGTAGAGATTAGAGTAAGCAACTACGGTGACCGAGTGGGTGCAAACCTGACTTTCAAAACGGTGGCCTGATTGCCATCGAAGAGACGATAACTGCGCTATGAAGCGGATTCTCAACGCAAAGCTTGATGGCAGGAGACCTTCAGCAAGACGGGAAAGTCTCGCTGGAACTGAAATGACATCGGTAGGACTGAAGAGTGAGCCCGCGTTTATTTGGTACAGTTGAAACATTTGTACGGCACTCTCGTCGTCTTCGATACAGTGGGACAAGAAGAAGAAAAAAGAAGAGGAAAAAGAAAAAAGTCACTATTCGCCATGTTGGATTTAAACTGATATCGAAACTGCTTGATTTGGTTACATATCAGTAGATTATAAAGTTAGAGTGAGATGTCAATGTGCAAAGCTATCATGGCATAAGCTTTGTCGATCACCTCTGAAAGAGGCTTCTGTAAGCATCTATTTTCTGGCACCCTTGTCGTCTGAATCAGACGAATGTTCTCGTTTTATTCTGTCACCGACCCGGAGGTTTTCCTGCTGGTCATTTCCACTCGCTGACCTTCTTGGAACCCAGTCTGATGCCTTCGTTGAGCAGCGATCGTCGGTTCTTCTTCCAATATGTCCTACCCATTGTAACTTCAACTTATTCACTCAAATACTGTGGCACTTGTTCGTAGACTTCCGCGTGCTCTGTTCCTATAAATTGTTATGATTCCCACCACATACCTTATCATGCAGTTCATGAACAACCTTCAGGTTTAGGGTCAAAATAAGGAAAATGTTTGTAAATGCGTTTACCAAGGGCGCTTTGCTACAAGATTACGGTACCTAAGTTACAGAAGCACCATTGAATCATTGAACTGAGTTTGTAATTGCGGAATGCGGACAAAAACGTTACGTGTTCATAAAAGTAGTAGCGCTACGACGTCATCGAGCATCTTTGTTCGTCATTACCGCCAGCGTGACCATCGACGTTGCCCGGGAAGAAGCTCGTTGTAGCCGGTACACGGAGGTGGCATTCGTTGGCCGGAGGTATGCCAGCTTTGCACCGTGTCGATGGTGCCGAAGAGGGCCGTGCCAACAGCACGCCGGAGAAGGCCACAGACCGAACCATGCACCATGCACCGTGCGTTGCGTTGCTTTGGTCGTCCGAATGTCAATCCGATCGCCATTAGCCGCAGCCGGAATAAATCCTCTGCATGGCACAGAAATTAATTGCGTTTTGTAATTAATTTGCGTTCCGATACGAACGTTTCAAAAGCGGCTCTCCACTAAACAACGCCGATCCGCCATAAGTGGGCAATAAGCAACGGGCATTACGATACTCGCCGGGGCTTGGACGTTTCTTTGGAGCGCCCCTTGATTTGCCTCGTTCGTTTCGACGCTTCCGTAATTGAATTCCGAGCGTTAAATTGTTCGCCTCACGGTCGTCCGCCGTGCTTCTCCTCTCCGTGCACTGCTCGCGCGACGACCATCCACTTTCTACGGGTATGCACGAGCTTTCGATTCTTTCGTACGTTCGTCACTCAGAACTGCTGCGTCAAAATATCCTCCCCCCCATTTCACACCTCAATCGGTGTCTTGTCAGCACGTCGAATCAAACGTCATAGTGACCAACAGTCATGCGCTCGAGGCTCGAGGCATCGGAGAGAGCACGCGCAACTACAAGTCAAAAGAGCGCACAAACGGGGCCGACCGATTTGAGGTCTGCTATCAGGAACCGGTCTTCCACGAGGCACATGCGGCTGCTGGGCATTGCCACTTGTGTAAATCCATTCACTCGGTCAGGTCCAAATACGAGAGGTAAGTAAAGTACAGTTCATAAGTTCGTTAATAATACTAACGAAATACTACTTGAACGGAGATGCTGATCCATCCGTTGATCAAGTGCTACTGCTAGACTGGCATTTAGTTTACGGTGCGTGCAACAATGGCGGATTTTCGTTACTGGACGTACGTCCTTTGAGTACGAATGAAAGCAATTGAAAAATTAGTTATGAAAATATTTCCTGAATTTTTTAGGCCGGTAAGGGTTCTTCATCACCACAATTTTAAAGGGTTTATTTGGCCTGCGTGGGTTCCCGGCGTTTCAGGAGAATCCATCTTCAGGGACCATAGAACGCACCGCTTACTTAACGATCTGAACGAATCGAGTGCGATCCATTTTTAGGGCAGATGATGCTATGTTGCCTAGCGCTAGGCTTGAGCAGATAAATATCTCGAGCGAGCTGTTGTGCACATTTGATTACATTCGAGAGGATAAATATGCCTAATGGTGGAGTTAAGCTGTGTAGCTTTTAGTTCACGTAGGCTGTTCTAATCTACTAGCGTTTTTTATTTTGTGATGTTTTTTTTCGTGTAGCAAATTGGCACGTTTACACACGTGTTGATTGATGAATGTTACCACATACCTGACTCTAAGGTGGTTAGGAAGAAAAATGAAACTAGCGTCAATGTCGATCGTGCGAACAATCTGCAAGGTCCCGTTCCAGTTTCAATCTCGACTGGATTAGCAAACTGGATTTCTGCCTTCTAGAACGCCAAGAGTGAAAGGGTTGCCTATGAGACAGCCGGTAGTTGTTAAGAATTGCAAACCTGGTTCTGCTGGACGCAAAACGTCCAGTTGGTCGTGCAAGAATATGCACTGGCCACCAGACGGTCAAATTACTCGGCCAGAGGTGGAGGCAGCATCAGAGTACAAAGAATACTCAGAAAGAGTACTCGCGCCTATGACAGATCTATAACGAAGTCACGCTGGATGGCGGATGACATATCTGTCTCTGTCCGTTCAAAATCTGACTCATCCGTAAATGCCATCATCATCCGAGGTTTGCTCGATTTTGACCGCATCAAAAACAAGAGTCGGTTCTCCCTCAGTCTGTTGCATGGTTGAACGTTTTCGTTTCCATTGTGAAGCGTGGCTGCTCTGCAATCCAGTTCAGTGCCGATTCTTCTGTACAATGGCCGTTATCTCTTCAGACTTCGTTCGGTTGAACGGATTCATATCGATCAAGTACTTTGTAAGGCTTTAGTGACGGACAAATGTAACTGACGAGGGAATAGCTGGCTAGTACATCACTGCCAGGTCCCTCAAGAGATGGGATATTCAGTTATTCAGATACTACGTATTCAGTTAATTAATCATTTCGTACCATGCTGGTCTTCCTTTGAATTTTGTTTCACTTGATTCAGACACCGAGTAGGTGCAGAATCCTCTGCTGACGCTCAGTATGAATTTAGCCCGTCCTCAGAAATGGGTCACCTCATAGTTTATGCCTGTGATATGGATCATGCAAAAGATCTTTGCGCCACTTACTGTCATAAATCTGACGTAGTACCTTTCTTCGATTCGGCCAGTGGCACGAATGTGTAATTGTGCAGCAGTGTGATACATAACGGTCGAAACCATAGGAAATAAGGTATCGTAGCAAATAAGGATGCAAAATTATTCACGTAATATGTCATTCGACCTGCCTTCGACAATTGCGTCGAGCAGGGAACATGTTCGCTCACGACCTGTAAAATCTCGCAATGGTCAGCGGACATAACAGCAGTTTCAAACGGACGCATCTTCTCGTCTCTGCTGACCACGACCAAAACCAGGACAGTGTGTGACCGAGGTGTGACCTTCAGTTACGCATTTGTCAAAAGTAGCTGGTTTCTTCACGTTCGACCACCTCTTTGTCATTGTATAGGTGAAAACGTTTTCTGTTCTTGTCATCAATGCTCGTTGCGTTTTCTCTCTGTCGTTTCACGGTTGTTTGCGAAGGCGAACAAAGAAAGGTGAACGATCGCTTTGATCTCATTTTGGACGTTTATAAATCTGGAGGGCGCACCTTTCGTTTTTCTGAGTAAGGTACGTTTTTACAATTGTGCCTAAAAGCTTAGGTTACGAAAACTCATCATGCGGTGTTATACCGTACGAAGTACGAAAGCCAAGCCCACCTCTAAGTAAAACAACAGACGCACGAAGAAAAACTTCAACTAAACAGGAAATTTGATAATTGCGCCGCACGGCAACATGCCGCAATCACAAACACAAATCGGGTGTCGTTGATCTCGATCTCGGACTTGAATCTCTTTTAGGGAGGAGGCTTACTCGGTGGAACCGTAGTCCATTACTGCCACCCCGCCCCCACCCCGTTCCCCGAAAGTATTTCTCCCGAAGGTCTGTCTGAAACATTCAAACCAGCACATCGAAAGTGGCTACTACTTATCCTTTTGACGAATAAGTACGAATAAGTAATTACGCATGTCGGAGTGATCCATGTTTCTCTGCTGTGTCTGTCTGTCTGTGTACGATTGCAAACACCTGAAGAGAGCGCTTGCCCTTACTCTGTCTGTCAAATGATTTGTCAAGGATCTGCAACTCCTGGTATTCGTCGACCGCTTCCAAGTTCAAGACCCATCATTGCGCCGCCCTGGTGTCTAAGGACTGCCCTCAGCCGTGATCCGCTCTGACATGCGATTTACACCTTATGGTATCTTCCACTGTCTGAGACTTGGCAGCAAGCTTACATTCACTGAGAGTATACGTTTGTTCTACTGTCAATACATGCGCGTAACTTTTTGTCACGCGGTAATAAGTCAGTGGGCCGATGATTAAGAACCAAAAAGTTGATGCCATGCGCTATTATACATATTATGATCCAATTAAAGACTATGTTATTTATTGATTTGATCGACTGATCCTTGTTCATAATTAACGCGAATCACCACTGCCCAGTCCAGTTGCCCAGGCTCGTCCGTCCCGATCGACTTTTCACGACCAGCTGCAGTAACGCTGTTTTAACTCATCGCCCCACCTGGGCCAAGATGTTTCAGCTGGGTGCTGACAGTCCCTTGGGCAGCAGTCAGTCATTGCTGAAGGCCACTGGTCATCCGTCGGTCGTACGATGTAGTCCACCGTACTCTGACTTCAGCTGCACGCAAGGAACAGCGTGACGCCAACTTTGTTTGTGCTTTCCATTCGATCTTTGCGAATGACTTTATCTCCTGTCCACCCGTGCCAGCCGTCTTGGACGGCAAGTACGTTCGCCTTTCAACCGCATACCGAATGAGGTCGCAGGTGACGGCTCAGCGAGGCTTGACCCGCCTACAGGTTTCCTCAGTTAGCTTCGTAGCAGTCACCTCTTCTTCTGCGGTTTTTTCCTGTGCACCATGCAGCGGTGCCTCATTTCGAGGAGATGGTTAGTCGAAATTTTGTGGAGTAAATTGAGCACGTGTGGTACTCAATGAATATTGAATGTCTTGATTCATACTTCCAGCTCAGTACAATTGAGCTCAAGTCGTGAATTTAGACTCTTAGTATTCATTAAGTGTCGGTCTCAGAATCGACAGCAGTTTTAAACGTTACTTGTTGCACTCAATTAGCATAAAACTCTAATCATATTCATTCAGTTAGTAAATTTGCCACTTTGTTGGATCACGTAGCTGCACTTAAAGACAGTATTATGCAAAGTTTCGCTTATTCCTTCATGAAACTTCTACAGAATTTTTAATAGAAAGCTTGCAAGCAATATTTCTAACACGCTATGACGCAACGATGACGTAAATATAATATTTAAAAAAAATTTTCTATAAAAACGTTCGTCGTGCTCTGTATTCAGACATTATCATACGATAATTTATAACAACATGCTGGACCTAGGAAAGAATGCGTTGATAAAAATGTCGACTTTAGACTCTGTGTGTTCACTTGTTTCTGCTTCAGTGTGTTTGGCACTCTTTACCAATGTTGCCGATTTTCTCTTTTAAGCTGAATTCACATCGTATGTTAGCCTAAATGTGCGCAACATGTTTGAATTATTAAATTTCTCACTTGTTGCACCGTTGCACGCTTTGTAGGAATTATATGAGAATA